GGAGGAAAGCCAATGGAATGCAGATGTTACCATTAAATGTGCTCAGGTCAGAGGAGCCTGGCTGCCCTGTAAAGCTCTCTCAAAAATTCTGCTGGCAAACCCAGCCGGCTCCAGTGGGGGATGAATGTTATTAAAGCTCTCTCTTCTTGGAGAAGTTGGATTGTGTGCTTTGCAGGAACAAACAACCACAACAGAATTTTGGGTTAGCCTGCTGTTTCTAGGCTCCTTATCCTCCCAACTGAAGATGTATTTCGAGCAGGGATTAGGGAGACTGTTAACTGGACACCGATCACTAGCTGCAAGGCTCTGTCTGATATTGGCAGGTAGTGCTCAGATATGCTCCATTTACTGCAGCGACATCTAATGGCCAGAGAAAGCAATGCATGTTTGCATTTAAAAGCAGCCTGTGATTCTGTCTTGTGGGGGTGTCTTTTTTTTTTTAAGTAGCGTGGACAAGGTATTATTGTTTATTAACCCCTGTAGAATAACACTTTGACCACAACCCTAAGAATTAGCTTCTGTATCTTTGGATGACATTTATGTTGTCATTCATAACTGGATGCTGATCATACTTTATGAAAACTGCACGATTGCCTCTTTGGATTTTTTTCCTTAACAACCATCATGACTTTGCATTTATTTTAAAGCTTCTTGTTGAAGCTCTGTGTATGCAGTATGCAGAAGGTTTCCATGCAAGGGAAAAGATTATCAAATTTACCCCCAAATACCCACTTCTAGTGTACAGAAGATTGTTGTGGTAAGTACATATTCTAGAGTAGAATGTAGTGTTAGCTAGCTTTTCCCAGTAAGTAGTGGTGGCTTCTCTCCCAGAAGAGGTCATTGTTCTAGCTCTCAGGTGGAGAAAGGAAAGCCAAAAATTAATGGTGAAGGGTGAAACCTCCACCCCCACATTTAGCTGTCACTGAATTTCATCTGAAACCCTTTGTGATACTGTGATTTATAATAAGAAATATATACATGGTCTTTGTCCCCATTTCTGGCACAGAGTTCCTATAACCCTTGAAATTAGGATTCCTAAGTGACAAGAGCAATAAAGGTGTCTTGATACTTACAAAAAAACCCTTTCAACCACACCTGAGTTTATGTTAATGTGGTGACTTCTGGAAAGCACTTAAAGATGGGGGCTGGTTGCCAGTAATCTAGTGAGTAAACTGGTTTCCTGAGTTCTGTGCTCTAGCAATTTTTTTCTTAATCAAACAATTTAATCAGGTTAATCAAAGGATAGGGTTGTGGGAACCTCTCACTTATATATACCTCAGAAGCACAGGTAACAACCTAGGCTTGAGATTGGCATCCAAAGTGGGGGGCAGTCTTGTGGGACTGAGCCCTTAACCTGTGGAATATGATGCTATCTCCCAGCAGAGAATGCCACAATTGAGTTGAATTGCAGAACACTCAGCTGGCATTGGAGAATTGCTTGGTGTGGGGGGAAAAACCCACACACACATTGGAGCCAGTCCCAGAATCTTACCCTTTCTCACTGAGTACCCCAACCCTCAGGCTCAAGGCCCTGGGTCTGGGCAGGCTCACTCTGGGGAGGAAGCTGGGCTCAACAAGCCGTGAACTATATGCATAAAGAATACTCAGTTATAAGAAGTGGCAGAAACTGCTGGAGAGATGCCTCTGACTCTACTAGTTCAAAAACTGATCTTCCAAGCGTGGAAGCCAGGGTATAAGTAGCCTTTGTTTCATCCATCTTCTGATGGTCAACCAGCGAGAGCCCATTCTCACTGCTGACAGGAAGAGAAATTCTTAGGGCCAGGATTTTAAAAAATGAATTAAAAACTTATAGTATATCATATTTCCTTCCCACTCAACCTCACCCTGGATTTTTTTTTAAAAGGAGCTATCTTAGAAACAGCATAATTACCTATGAAGAAATCAACTTTCCTAAGAGTTGACCATATGAAGTTGCCATTTGGGTATGTCACAAAGGGAAGATGTTGGCAATTTCATATGGTTCAGTATAAGAAAGAGGACTGAAACTAAAGGAGAGATGTATTCCTGAATAAAAAGCAGAATATTTTACACAAATTATTCTGAATATATAGGTTTAACACAATTCCAGTCATAATCACAAGGTAATTCTAAAGTTCATCAGGAAGAACTAATGCCTGAGAATAATCAAGGAAATGTTGAAAAGAAGAGTGGTGAGGGGATAGATGCCCTGCCAGATATTAAAAGGTATTATAAAGCTCTAGGAATTGAAATAGCATGGCACCGGCATGAGAACAGACTGACAAGTCTGCAGAGCCGGATACACAGCCCTGAGACAGACCCTAGCACACCGGAACATTTAGGATGTGGTAAAAGTCGCATCACAAATTAGTGGGCAAAAGAAAGATTATTCTAAAAATGGTGCTTAAACAATTGGTAAACTATCTTAAAAAAAATCAGTTGATTACCTCACATCGCACCGCAGGTAAATTCTAGATATGTCAAAGTATTAAGTGTAAAAGTTACAATGAAAATATTGTTTTTCATAAGTCACATGATTGGAGGATGGGGTATACCTTTTACACAGAAGAGCAAAGTTAGAAACAAAAAAACAGTAATAGATACAATTGCATAAAAATGTAAAAATATGTACAACAACACAAGCAGCATCAGAAGCCAAATGTTGAACTGGGAAAAATGTGTGCAGTGTATGACAAAGGGTTAATATCTTTAACACATAAAGACTTTTTACCAACTAGTAGGAAAAGCTGAACAGCCTAGAAAAATAGGCAATTTGGACATAGTAGAAAATTTACAAAGAAATACAAAGGACCAAGAGATATATGAAAAACATGCACTTTGCTTATAATCAATGAAATTCAAATTGAAACAATGTGATAGCATTTTTCAGCTATTAGGTTCTCGAGGATTTAAAGTGATAAGAATTACTCTTGACAGGAGTTGAGGAGATGAACCACCCTCACTCATGGCTGGTGCACGTGGAAACTTACAACCTTTCTGGGGTGCAAACTTCATTAAGAGCCTTAGAATTATTTTTATCTTGTGACCTGTATTTCGAGGAATATAGCTAAAGAGTGTCATCACAGATGTGAAACAATACAAGGGTTTTCACTGCAGTGTTATCACACTGAAGAATTAGAAACAGTCTAAATATTAAAAAACTGAGAAATTGTTATTTATGGTATGACAGAGATAGAGACTGAAGTTATTCTGCACAAACCAAGGAATGCTTAGGGCTGTCAGAAGCTGGAAGAGACAAAGAAGAATCCTCCCCCAGAGCCTTCAAATGGGGCATGGCTCTGCCAACACCTTAATGTTAAACTTCTAGCCTCCAGAACCTTGAGAGAATAAATCTGTTATTTTAAAAAAATTATAGTACATCCATATGGTAGAATATTACGTGATAATTAGAAAAGATGTTCTCAACACTTGATGGCCTGAGGCAATATCCGTTGAATGATAAGCGAAAAAAGCAGGATACTAATTTTTATATACAATAGGAACACAATTTTGTAGAAAAATAACTTTCCATGTACATGTATTATATCTATTTATATTTATGCACACATATATATACATACACATATGAATATACGCACAAATAAAACTATTAATCATTAAAGTGCATAGGTATTCGGCTTATAGGTAATTATTGTTTCTTTTTCGTGCTTTTCTGTATTTCCCAAATTTTCTATGATCTATGCACATTCCCTTTTTTATTGTGATAAAACAGACATAACATAAAATTGACCATTTTGACCATTTTTAAGTGTATGTACATTATTCTTAAAATTAGGAATAATGGATTTTATAAAGAAGTCTGTGCTAAGCAGGCTCTAAACTTGTATCTACGTTACAATTACAATACTGTGACAATTTTTAAAATTTGCTCGGACAAAGGACAAGAAAGGAACACAAGCCAGACAGATGAAAATTGTGGTTGACTGGAGCAGCAAAATTGGGTGTAATCGCGATGTTATTATTCTAAAAGCAGCTTTTCTTTCTAGGTGGAAATAAGTACTTGCTGGCTTTTTAGTGCTGAGGGAGATGAGGCCCGGCCCGGCAGAGAAAGTCATGAGGGGAAGCTGGGGGCCACTGAGATAGCAGAGGGACAAGTTAGAGCCACGGGGAAACACAAACTCACCTGGGACTGATCATTTAAAATTGGATTCAGCTGGCCCCAAATTAATATCCGCGCAGCTCTTCAGGAATATATCAATTGTATAAATCAGGATTTGCCCAGAAGAGGCCAGGAAGGCAGGCAAGCCTGTGGATGTGGAGTTTTAAGGGAGGCTAGCAGTGAGTGAGCAGGGCAGATGAAAAGCCCTGCTTGATTCTGAGTCCACCCCACTGTGTGGACCTGCCTGTAAGCCCCAACGTGACTTGGACCATTCTGATTTTTCTTTGATAAAAATTGGCTGATCCTAGGCTAAGCCAGTTCCTCACTTGGAGACCTTGGATAGCAGGCTTTTGCTTCTGTGGCCTGTAGAGAAACTGAGTCTCTTAGGTAATAACTAGGAAAATGCAGGTCCAATCCCACCAAGACACCAACACATTTTAAATGCAGTTACTTCCCCAAGAGGGGAATCAGGGACCACTGGGCCCTTGTTATTGATAGTCTCTGGCTTATTTTCGTTCTTTCCTGTCTGTTTCACTGAGGTAAGGAGAGTGCCGTGTCCTCGCCATGAAGGCTGCAGGAAGAGGGAGACATGGGAGGCTGCACTGATGTACTGGGCAGTGGCAGCCGTGAGGAAGAGAGGAAAGAAAAATGGGCCTCCTCTGGAGGCTTCATCAGAGACCTAAAAAAGCAGAGGATGGGAATGGGGAGATGGCTTGGACTCAAGCCCATTGCCCTGAGGTTAAGTTAGCAGCAGAAATGCCACGGAACAGGGGTTTGCAGAATGTTTGTACGAGCAGTCACTAGCTCCCTGGAAACCTGGCACTGCTCAGGCGCAGTGTTCTTTGCTGTTGTTACCCACCCACAAACACTTCAAGGCACCCCCTCAAACATAATTCCTCACCTGCATCTTTCTCTTCACAGTGTCAAAGGGGAAGGAGAGTGTCTGGGTCACGGCAGCAGCCAGGCAGACATTGGCAAAGTTCTGGAAGAGAGAGAATCGATCTCGGGGTCCATTCCAGATTTTCTCCAGATTCATGTAAACTAGAAGGGAGCCAGCAGAGAAAGGGACAGCACCTGAAAAACAACACCAGGGAGAGGTTGTGATGTCTCGGGAGACACTGGCTTGAGAACATAAATGCCTGTGGGGAACCCAGGGAAAGTAAATAGGGCCATCTCTGGGCTTGTTAAAATCATTCCAGCCGAAGCAGCAGGAGCTTTCTTGGGTGAGGACGACATGCTGTATTTTGATAGGGGTTGTGTCATTGGTCAAAATGCATCAAATGGTTCCCTAAAGGTTTGTGTAGTCTATGTAAATTTTACTTTTAAAAGAGCCATAAAGAAATATTGAACTCTAGTTAATGATATGCATGTTGAAGGGTTGAGGGGCAAAGTGTATTGATGTTTGCAACTTACATGGAAATTACTAAAAAATATATGAGTGATGAGTGGCCAGAGATGGATAGCTGTGATATAGAGCAAAACATTAACTGAAGGATATGGTATATGGTGGGTATATGGATGTTTTCAATTCTTTTAACTTTTCTGGGTATTTGAAGTTTAAAAACGTAAGAGTGTTGAAGAAAAAAAAATCATTCATTAAAAAAAAGTTAGTGGGCATCACTTAACCAAGTTTAGGAGGCTAGGAGGGACTCATCTCTAGCTGAGAAGAAACATTCTTAAAAACTGAAAAGTGAGACAGTAGTGGTGAGGGGGGTTACTTGACCTGGCCTCTAGGAATGATGTGGCCATAACAGGGTCCAGTGGGCACCCTGCACTGTGTGGCAGCCTCATCTTTCTCAGGGAAGATGGTGAGCAGGTAGGGCAAGAGTTGGCACTTAGAAACTTCCAGAAACTTTGGGAGCAATCTCAAGTTTACACAGGGACTAAATTTCTCCCTCAAAATGAGATTTAAAAGAGGGGCTAACACTAGTGGGGTTGCTCATCTTTAGAAAGATGTAATACTTATTTAATAAACACATTAAAAATGATGCACCAACTCTGTATCTTCCTTCATTCGGAAAACGTGTGTAGTAACCTATAATGAAAAAGAATATGAAAATATATGTATGTATATGTATGACTGAAATATTATGCTGTACACCATAAATTGACACATTATAACTGACTATACTTCAATTAAAAAAAAAAGAAAAAAAGAAAACAGATGTGGAGCTTATGCTATGTGATGGGCCCTATGCCAGGTGCCAGGAAGACAAAGAAGGTAAGTAGGCTAATTCCTGGAGGTGCTTACCATCTAGTGGAAGAGACAGACAGCTGATATGTGCCATAACAGGAGGGCTGTACAAAGTGCTCTAGGTACACAAGGATCAGCGGGATGAATTTTGCCTGGGGGAACCAGGAAGGATGTCACAGAAGACAGAACTTTTCAACTGGGTCTTGAGGAACGAGTAGGAGTTCATCAGATATCGAGAGAGCAGGCAGAGAGAACAGCATGTACAAAGAGAGTGGTATTTCCAAGAAATGCAAGTATTTCTGTATGGCTAAAGCAGGAGTGCAAGTAGAGGCGTGGCAGGAGATTGGGTAGGAGAGGCTGGCCAAGGCCAGGTCTGAAGGATCTAGTTTGCCATAAGGAATCTGGGCTTTTCCCTGTAGTTCATAGGAGTCAATGAAGGCTTTTAAGGAGGGAAGGGGCAAGAGGGTGGTGAAATGATCAACTTGCACTTAGAAAGATCACCACACCCTGGCAGCAGGGCACAGGGTGGACTTGGGCAGAGAGACCCAAGACTGGGACCAGGTAGGAGCCTCTAGTAAGTGTCTGTAGGAAGGATGATGATGAGAGTGTCACTTGGGGCAGAGAAGATGGGGATGGAGAAGGGGGCAGACTTGAGAGTTAAAAGAGGTGAAACTGACAGCACTTGGCAGCTGAAGCGGAGAAGAGGAGTCAAGTTGAGGCGACTCTAGGTTTCTTCAGGTTTGGGCCACTGAGTGAAAGAAAGGTGGTTTGGTTCTTTAGGGAACAAATGAGGGGAGCAGGTGTGCCACTAATGAAGACATCAGGTTTAGCCTTGACTTTGATGTGCCAAGGGAGCGTCAGGTGAGGGTGTCCAATAGCAGGCATTTGTACTGCCATTGGGAATTAGTAGTAGTCAGTGGTTAAGAGAGAGGGCTCTGGGGTTATATTGCTAGGTTCTTCCACTTTCTATCTATGTGACCTTGGGCAAGTTACTTAGCGTCCCTAAGCATCTATTTCATCTGTAAAGTGAGGTTTAAATGAGAAACTGTATGCAGAGCATTTAGCACAGTGCCTGGCACATAGTAAACACCAATAGATGTTAGTCATTGTTATTATAGAGAGGAGATTGGGAGTCATTAGAGTATAATGATGCTTGTTCAACCCACTAGCTTAGATGAGGCCTCCTAGGGAGGGTACGGAGTGTGAGAAGAAAGCTAAGGAAGGAGCTGGGGGAACAGCGACATGTAGGGGGCTGGTGGCGTCAGATGAGCCAGACAAGAAAGAGCTGCAGAGAGGTGGGAGAGACATCTAGGAGACAGTGGAGTCCTAGATGCCAAATTTCCAGAATAAAGGGTGATCAATCTCATCAAATGCTGCAACAAAGGTCAGATAAAAGGTGAAAGTGTACTGGGTTGGCAACGGGGGTCCCAGTGACCTGGCAAAATTTCCAAAGATCACAGAAGCTACAGTTGCTGCCCTGGTTGTGCTCATACATGCATGGCTGCACATTGAGACTCCTTCCTCAGTAAGATGGGGAGTGGGTGGGATTGTCTTCCCATCAATTTATGCTGAGCCATCTCCACTCTGTCCTACCCACCTCCCAGGGATGTTTACCAGGCCAATGTTAGGAGTAGGGTGTATGGCTCTGGAATAGAATGAAGCTAATTGACTCTATATGGATTGAATCCATATGACCTTGGACTCAGTTAAATGGATTTAACTGGTTACAAATGTCTATAATACATTCATATATATCCCTTGAAGTCAGTAAAATGGATTTAATTGGTTACCAACAAAGGTATACAATCCATTCGTATATATCAAAGAACATATATCACAGCCTTTTCTTGGACAAGGTGAAAAGTTCCATCTTACCTAAAACAGTAAGGGAAACCCCTCGATAAAAGGCCAGGAAGCCTTCCTGTTGATAAATAGTAGAAAAAGCATGGAAGATTCCCCTGTAAGATGGTTCCAGCATGTTCTGCACAATTAACCGGGTTTTGATGAGGTCGGTAGGATATGTCACAATGGTGGAAACCATGCCTGCGAGACTCCCAGCCATGATGGAGTGCCACTGGGAAATATGGCCCAGGTCATCCGTGAACAGCACGACAAACCTGGGAGAAAACAGGGAGAGAAGCCCAAGGGAATCAGCTATGGATTGTGCTAGAGTACTCTATGCTACTTATTTAAATTTTTTTAAAATTTAGGTATAGCTGATTTATTCTACACTACTTACTGCAACATTTTCCAGCATTTGGAAATCCTTTACAAAGTGAAAATTACTATACTAATATATTAGGATTAGTGAATAACATGTTCAGTTCTACTATATTTATGTAATTCTTGTCAGCTCTAAGGAGGAGATTCTTAACCCTCTTATTTGTACCTACCCTAAGTCCTTCCCACTTCATCTTAAGCATTTCCCCCTGTTATCTGTGTAACTTGTCATTCCTGGCTTGCCTGTGGGGTGTAAAGGAACAGATGTACTTGGTAAATGCTGTACTGGAATGCCCTCCTTTGATTCTGTTGAAACTGAAATGAAATTGCTTGAAATGGTGAATTTGAGCATCCCCAGTTATTGAGTTTTTAAAATATATTGGTTTAATAATTACACAAGATGATATGCCACCCCACCCAGTGTCAGGAAAATGACAAATAGAAATAACAAGATACCATTTCTCACCCAGCAGACTGGGAAAGATTAAAAGGTCTGATAATAACAAGCGATGGTGAGAAAGTGTGGAAACAGGAACTCCCACTCACTGCTGGTAGAAGTGTAAATTGGTAGGTCACTGAAGTATCTAGTACAGTTGCAAGAATGCCTACTTTGACCCCAGTGATTCCATTTCTAGGTGCATATCCTAGAGCAACTTTTGCACATGTACATATGAAGACACATACTTCATTGTGTGTGTTGTTTGTAAGTAAAATCAAACAATCTAACTGTCCATTGGGAAGGGAATTGATAAATTGTATCCACACAATGGATACTACAGTTAAAATGAATGAGCTTTAGAACTACACATTAACATGGATAAGTTATAAAAAGCATAAAGTTGAGTAAAAAAAGCAAGCTGCAGAGTGACCTTTAGTGTATGGTAACTATGTCACGTTGTCGCTCTATATCCACAGGTTTCAGGACCCTTCACAGATACCAAAATCTGTGGATGCTCAAGTCCCTCATATAAAATGGTGTAGTATTTGCCCTCTAGTATATTTTAAATCATCTCTAGATTACTTATAATACCTAATACAGTGTAAATGCTATGTAAATAGTTGTGGAGCATGGCATATTCAAGTTTTGCTTTTTGGAACTTCCTGGAATTTTTTCCCAAATATTTTTGATCTGTGATTGGTTGACTCCATGGATGCAGAAGCTGAAGATACAGAGGGCTGACTATATTTAAATTAAGAAACACATCCACAAAACCATATCTTAGAGTAATCATGGATAGCTATAGATACACATGAAAAATTATAAAACAGACCTCCAGGAAGGTGGAGAGTGGATGGGACTGGGGATGAGAATGAAGAGGACTTCAGCTTTATCTCTAGTATTTTATTTCTTGTGTTAAAAAGAGATACTTGAAGTATCTTTTAAACTAAATATATTTCATGTTGTCAGTTCTGCATGGTGGGTTGAGTGTTTGCTAGACTATTCTTTGTGTTTTTCTGCAGTTTCATAATTTAGTAAAAAGTGGCTTTGGGTGGACTTTTCTAAATGCAAAACAGAAAGTCACTCTGTTATAATCTCTCTTTTTGGAAGCAGTGCATTCCCAGTCATGAGGGCCCACCTCAGCAGGAATCGTAAGGGCACTTGTACACGGTGCACGTTCCCTGGCCAGAAAGCAAAGGAATTTTGCTTATTCTTGCTGATGAAGACAAAATACAAAAGGGCTTGGAAACCATGAAAAATAATGTTTTCTGTCAGAGTGAGGGAGGAGGAGAGGGAGAGCAAGGATTTGAATAAAAGGAAAGTGAACAGAGCTAGGCTAAAATAAAGGCATTGTATCTTTTTGAAAAAAATGAGAGCATCCCAGTTCTTTGGCTTTCAAAGCTCCAGTGAAAAGGTGTATTTCCTGCTTTTTCAGTTTGGCCCAGGCCAGGGCCCCCTGCCTGATAAATAAGATGTGTGGCTGTTCGGGTGACATCACTGAAGGGGATCTGGGACAGCTCCTTTGCTCTCAAGTCAACCCTCATTGATTAAAAACATCTCCTTCAAGCTATAGGAAAGTCTTGACTTCATTTTGTCAACTGACCTTGACTGCGCCAGCTGAAACAGTCATTTGAGATGACCAGCTACCTTTTAAAGATGCAGGTAACTAAGCTAGCATTCACCAATGGGCCATCTGCCTCAGTTTCAGTGCCTGCACCCTTCCCTGCTTCTCCCTCTGCTCTCCCCTGGCCAGTCAAGAGGAACCTTAGCAGGGGGAGGGGAGACGAAGTAGAAATGCTTGTCTGGAGGGCTGGTCTGCAGCAAGCTGGAACAACCTAGAAGAAGGAGGAGTTTGAATGCCAAAAGAAACACTGTTCATTCTTATCACCTCACCCTTATTCCCCACCCCACTCGCCACTTCCAGGACACTAATGAATTCATTACCCAGTCACTGAACATCCATAACGTGCCAGACACTGTGCTCATATACAGCATCGATCATAAGAGGGTTCAGCAGTCCTGCCAAAGAGATGACTAATAGGGGCAACAGGAGGGGAATTAGGCCCTTGGTTCACTGAATGACATAAATTGGGAAGAGGAACCCTGTCTTCTATCAGTTTGTTTGATAAAGTAGGGTCTTACTATCCAATACACAAAATTAAAAAGAAAAACCAAAGAAAGTCCTTTCTTTTCAGACTCTTACTATCTGATAGAGACCAGGACTACACATCGTTCCTCCTATAATCAGAGTCAAGGCAGGCAACCCTGATAGGCCATCAATGATGTCATCCTGGTCCCTGCATCTTAAGCTCTTGTCTGATTGGCTGGGGCAGCAGTGTTCCCCTTTCTGCTCTTCCTCCCACTCCCACACGCGCACAGAAGCTTCTTCCAGCGAGACTGGATAAGCTGATGAACAGCAGTAACCCCTTCCTTTCAGGCACACGGATATTACACACACCCTGGTTACATGTACTTAGAACTGTCAACACTTCAACCTAACACAGGTTAACAGCCAAACACAAGCTCATGAGTCCATTGCACAATAAGGAAATGGTGTTGGTTATGAACAGTTTCAGAGTTTCAGCAACCCAAACCAATGTTTTTACAGCTAGACAAACAGTCGTGGCATAACGTTGGGTGAGGGTTTACTGTGTGATTTCTTTGAAAGCCATCCACTGTGTTAGGTTTTATTTGTATAGTACAAGGACCTAGTTCCTAATAGACTCTACTGAGTGGATCCTTTTAGTTGGAAATCCAAGTAAGGAGACACTTCAGCATCACAGTGCTGGGCAGAGCCCTGGACTAAGGAGCAAGAAGACCTGGTTTCAAGCTCTAGCTCTGCCATTAATTGTGTTTGTGGACAAATCACTGAACCGCTCCATTCCCTGAACATTCTGGATGTTTCTGCTTTGTTCAAATCCATAATCATAGGCTGTACTATTACCCTCAAAAAACTGTTTTGCAAATTCATGGTCAGGAGGGTAGAGATTAGTCAGTATAATGATGGACCAAAGGTATTGTCTTTACGTAGGAAGGATGGCACCATGATTAATCAATCACTTTGCTGTCCATCACTGAAATATTTCCTTTTTAGTTTCCAGAAACTAATCTTGCAGAAAAAAATTAGCAGACCTAGCCTGGGTAATTATCCATTCTTTCTCTCCCACACATCTCATCTTCTCCATTCCCACTGTCACCAGCCTATTTCAGGTGCCCTCAGCCACCACATGGGCTAGTGCAGCAGGTTCCTAACTGGTCCTGCCACCCCTAGTCTTCCTCCTCTCTAGTCATCCTCGCCTGCTACCAGGTGACAGTAATCCCTGTTGAACTGCTTTAATCACAGCATTCCTCCCATCAATCCCCCCCCACAGCTACCTTTGCATTCCAAGTAAAGTCCAAACTCCTTAATCTGGCCCTCCAAGATCTCATTCCAACCTGCTCTTCTGGCTGTATTTCCCATTATAGCCAGAGACACACCTTATGCTCCAGTCGGGCTGCATGCCTTCCCACCTCTGTGCCTTTGCTCTTGGCATTACTGGCAGTATCTTTCTCCCCATCTTTGCCTGAAAACTCCTACTCATTCTCCCAAGCCCAAACTCAGATGGTTTTTCTCTGCTGTGAAGTCTTCACATCTCCTCTTCCTCCCTCATCAGAAGTGTGAATTTCTATAGGACTTTATCCTTGGCAGTCACATGCTACGAACATAGAATGGTCTTATTCCATTGCTCTGTAAGCTCTGGGGCACAGGGACCATGCCCCTTTCATCCTTGCATTGTCTCAAGCATCATGCACACAGTGGGCACTTAATGAGTGCAGAGAGAAAGGCAGCATGATGTAACAGGGCATGGGAATTGGAGTCAGAAGGCCAGGTGGTGGGGCTGAGCTCTGTTACTGATGAGTGGTGTGGCCAATCTGAGCCCCACTCTGCATCTGTAAAATGGGCATAATACTTCCTGCCTTGTGGACCTTACAGGGCAGGAGGCAAGAGTTGTAAAATCCAACGATACACACACACATAAAATGGTAACTAGGTGGAGGTGGATATGTTAATTAGCTCGATTGTGGTGATCATTTCACAATGTACATATATCAAAACATCAAGCTGTATACAATTTTTCTGTGTCAATGGTATCTCAATAAAGCTGTTAAAAAGCCAATGATATGCAGTCAGCTCACCGTATACGTGGGCTCTACAACTAACTGTGGATTGAAAATATTCAGGGAAAAAATCGCAGAAAGTTCCAAAAAGCAAAACTTGAATTTGCTGCATATCAGCAAATATTTACATAGTATTTACAACTATTTACATAGTATTTACATTGCATTAGGTGGTATAAGCAATCTAGAGATGATTTGAAGTATGTAGGAGGATGTGCGTAGGTTATATGCAAATACTACTCCATTTTATATAACAGATTTGAGCATCTGTGGATTTTGGGGTGTGTGTGGGGGGTTGTCCTGGAAGCAATCCCCTCCGCAGATACTGAGGGATGACTGTATATATTCTAGATGGTGAGCAGCAAAACCACAATACTTAAACCAACCTTTGAAGTTTTGCCTCCCTCCTCTTGGTACACATTCCAAAGGAAGATTTCCATACTACTTTGTGGAGAATGGAGTGAAGTGGGGAGAAACTGAATCATTAAAACTCAGAGGAGAACTGTTTACAGACTGCAGGCCAGATGCTGCTGAGGGCAACGGGGCTGGGGGGGAAAGAGCTCTATTCCGAGGCATAAGTGAAATGAGCGCCAGCCTCAAAGACCTAGTAGTGATAAGGAAGATTCCCTACGGCTTGTCAGCTGCCAGGTGAGACTTCCACTTCTGACCTCCCAGAGCCAAAGGCAAAATCCTTTGACAGTCAGCCTCCAAGGCTGACCTGTGTGGTCAAGACTGTGTGCTGTTTCTCTAATTCCCAACCAAGGCCATCTTTGAAGTTGGCACCGTGCCCACCCAATGAGGAACACAGAAACCGTCCTGCCCCGCCCCCGCCAAATATAGAAACATCCCCTCTCCCTGAAATTACATCACTACCATTTCATTCTTTTAGTCTTTGTTTCTAGTTAAAATGCAAAGATCTCTGAGCTCTGAGGAAGCTTTAAAGCTCATCCTGCATTACATATTTAGATATTTTCCTAAGAGGCAGCTGTTGTGGGAGAAGATGTTAAAAGCCCAAAAGGAGGCCAGTGGGCAGCGAGTGGGGCTGTTTGGAGTTTGGGGAGGGGAAGCTGCAGCCTGTTGGGCCCTAAAGGCCAGCTTCTGGCGTGGGGTGCAGAACTCCGTGGCCTTTTTGTTGCCATGGATTGGGCTCTCTGCCCCTAGCGAGCACTTTTTTCCGGGGGCTTTGATCACACGGACACACTTCCATACACGCACCTTCAAAAGGATCTCTGTTCTAAGCCAGCCAAGGCAAAATTTCCAAGTTGGTAGACGGTGGGAAGGGTTAGGAGCCATCTCTCCGGCGATCTCTTCACTCCTTCCCCCAAATCTCCTTTGGCTCCCCTTCCACCTCCTCCCACCCGGTCAGCCTCTGTGCGCCAGAGCTGCGCCCCCACAGAACTGTACCCGGCGGGGCAGGAATCCTAAGAGAACGTAAAAGACCTGGGGACTGAGCTTTGGGGGTCATAGATGTCGCCGTCTG